GAGCTCGTTATTAAACCTTCATTAAGGTCTAACCCCGGACTGTCCGAGTCACCCGGCCGTCTCGGGAGTCCCCAATTAACTTGGTCGTGCTTGGATCTGAAGTCATTGACTAATAATCCATCACTTTGCGCATGCTGGCGCAGCACCACCGACTCGTTCTCGACGATTATCGGTAACGAATCAGCAACGCGCGACTTCTATCACTGTCAACTGTCAGACGTAACTGCATTGCTGGGACTTTAATCGCTCTCCCAACGCTCTCTATGTGTGCGTTATCGATATTGGGTCACCGGACAGCCAACGTCGACACAGCCGACACAGGATTAGCATCATACTTCCTCTCAAATTCCTAGAATTGGAAGGTTCGCAGGACAGGGCCAGTTAGGGCTGTCCATTTCCTCAAGCTTTACTACCTCAACTTGGGCTTTGGTCTCATACTCTCGCTATCTCCGACAGCTTACAACGATCTTCCATTGTCTGGCGGATGCCTCGTTGTGCGTTGAACTGGGACTTAAAACGAGACAATAGCTGTTAAGAATCTCGCCACTGCCTCAGGGGGAATCTGGGGCTGTCTATTATCCGTTCTATTACCATCCGGCAGTCGCAGCCATTTTGGGCTCTGACGCCGTTCTCTACTGCCTTAACTCTAATATGGATAGATGGCCCAGGGCACAGAACACTTCGGATTTCCACGAACGGGGAAACTGACTCCTATTAGAATATCTCGACAGCATCGCACCCCTGTGATTTCCGAATCCGCTTGACATTTGGCTGCCTGGCCTCTACCGCGTTTTTTCAACGCAACAAAACGTGTACCTTGCGAGACTTGCTTTCCACATTTCTCATCTTGGCAGCGCCTTGGGTGCTGTAAATGGATGGCAGGGCACTGCTGTGACACGGGATCCCGAGACTTCCTCCCGTCCGACCATGAGTGAGCCTGTGCACTGGAGCCATATATATTGGGTGATGACCCTTGTCAAGTCACCAACAAAACTTCTCATTCTTCCCTTCCCTTCAACTGACAACAGCCGCTTGCGGTTCCTGCTCTCTTTCCGGGGCGGTCTTCGCCACATCATCTCTCCTCCTTTCCACCAATCGCTGGCCGATCGGACTCCCGCCAGAACCCAACTGCAAGTTAGGAGTTGAACGTTGAACCCCTATTTCAGTCCGACAGTCCGACTGTATCCTACGTCAAAATAGCGGCTTTTGGTAACGCTCTTCTAAATGAAGCCGTTATGACAAAACGCCGCAAACCGCAGAAACGCTCGTCGGCTCCCAGGCCCAATTCAGCCCCTTCTAAAACATCGTCACATATGTTCAAAAGTGCCAGAAACTTCTCCGTCCAGGGTTCCCATTTCGTTGAAACTCGCGGTAACACCATCTTTGTTGAGAAACAAAGTGTGTACCACATTACTTTGGTAAATATTAACAAACGATCTCTGGTATGTGCCATGTGTCCACGCTGTATTTCTCCACCCATCATCGCCTAACTTACTATGGCAGGGAGCGTTTTATTTAACAACCACCACTCTGCTTCAACTCGCCTTTTTTTGATGCCCTGGGTCACATTCGCAATAATCCATCCTGACAATGTCTTGTTCATCACCTAGCGCCTTCAAGGTCGCTCGCTGCGCTTGAGGCAGCGGCTTGACGTGCCTCGCGTTTCGGGGTCCTTCTGGCTGGTTCACCCATTTCTTCCCATCCAGGCGACGTGTGGAAGGCTGGTACAGGGAGCCAATGATGCAGCTGAGCCGGATGTCCTGCGAGATAGGTTAATCCCACTCGTACCTTCATTCGTTGATCGCTTTCATTGTTCCCTCGAGCTATTGCTCCCGCCTTTAACCCGCCTTCCATTTCCATACTTAATCTTTATTTTCATCTTAGGCTTCGACGTGCGGTGGATTTGGAAGGGTTTACGTCGCTCCAGAACGCCGACTGGCTCGCGCTATGTTTGAGCTCGAGTACGCTGGATGCACTCATCGCGCTCTCCATCGTTTCTGAGTGGCAAATGCCCGTCCATGTGACTGTGAATGTGTTGCCCTGTTGGGCCTTCAAAAAAAGGCTATCTCTCCTCCTTCCATCGATCGACTTCACCGTTACTCTTGGTTTCGTCGTTTATTCTTAGTTATGTAGTGCATCTTTATCCTTTGTATATCGTAACAATGTAGAAACAGGGTTTTTGATATGTTCAATTGTTCGAACATTCGCTCAAAATCTCGGATATCCCAGGGTTTGAAGATCTGAATGTCCGAACATTAATTGTCGGAGCCACAGCGCCCATCGCCCTTGGACACTTTCATCAGACTGTTGTGGGTCAGTCTAGCTTTTAACATCACCTTGTTTCCTTTTTGAAGCGATAACAGAGGCAGAAACCCTGGATGTTTGAACATCCGGTATCTTCGGTGAATGTCTGAATAACATGAACAATCCAGGCCTGAGGGGTCGCATCTTCCCTGATAGAACGTGTTGCAGATAGGGCAGAAACGAGGATAACTCCCTTGCCGACCGTCCAGCCCTGCGTGCCGAGCGGTGTATCCGCAGCGACTCTGAGGAGCGGGTCACCCGGGGTGTGTCATCGGGGTTCTTGCTTTCTCATCTGACACCTTTTTGACCAAGTATTGTTAGTTCGGCTTATGCCAACACTCAACACATCACAGATAACATGAGAACTACCACTACGTCGGGCTACGCCGTGGTGCGCGACACTGTGTTGGACAACAGTATTCAGTAGTATAAAGTATCTCAATGTCAAGTTATGCAACCCAATAAGTTCCTAGTTTTCCATCTCCTTTCCCTCTCCTCACTTCTCTATACTCGTGCCAAGATGCCCTCTCAGGCCGTTGCCAAAGCCGCAAATGCAGAGTATAACCCCAAATACGTGCCAACCGTTGTCGTGTTTGGCGGGACATCGGGAATTGGCGAAGCCATCGCTCGCACATTTGCAACCCACACGAAGGGACGCGCACATATCATCATCGTAGGCCGAAACAAGGTTGCCGCAGACAAAATTATGGCGACGTTTCCCAAGCCAGACCAAAGTATTGTCGCGAATTCAACATACGAGTTCGTCTCCTGTGATGTGGTGTCCATGAAGGATATCCACGTGTTCAACGAGGACATGAAAAAGAAACTGTCGAAGATCAACTACCTCATCCTATCGGCTGGAACGGCTGGGTTAGGTGGCCGCAAAGACACGGAGGAGGGGTTGGATTACAAGATGGCCGTGCGCTTTTATTCGCGTTTTGCGATTCTCCATGGCCTGTTACCGCTTTTGAAGAACGCTCAGGATGCGGGAGAGGATGCGGGGGTGCTGTCTGTGCTGTCGACTGGACATGGCAAGTGGGTGGACTTCAACGACCTTGGGCTGAAGAAGCGGTATAGCGGCTTCAGAGCCATGTTCGCCACTGCTGGTTACAGCGACTTCATGCTCCAGGTACGATATTTGTTTGCCATACTACCAGATAGTGGCTTAATATGACCTCTCGTAGGGCTTCTCAAAACGGGCACCTGGGGTCGCATTTGTCCATAGCTATCCTGGACTCGTCGACACTGGATTATTTCGTTCCAACAACTGGCTCCTAAATGCCCTCCTTCGACCTGCTGCGTGGTTATTCACTGTGTCGCCACAGCAGTGCGGAGAATGGATGGTATACGGCCTTCTACGCAGCAACGGTAAATTTGCTCGCATCGATGACCATGGTGAAGATGTGGGGTTTGCGGACCTGGAATTTGCAACTGACGAGCAGAAAAAAACTTTCTGGAAACATTGCCTTTCGGCTGTAGGACTCCCTGAAGAATGGTAAGCACCTTCAATCGTTCGGACTGCAAGCGAATTGACTTCTCTACTTTTAGATTTAGAACTCACTTGATCGCAATATTAGATACCCTTCGCCAAGTTCCAACTTTTCAACTCTCTATTATTACGCATATATAATGACCTTGACATTTTCAAACCCTTTACCCCCATCTGTGTGCCGCGGTACATGACTCTACAATGTAGGACACGTACGAATTTGTCACGTTAGATTTCAATCAATCTGAACAGAATACACGTACTGTTGACAATATAGTCCTTCGTGTTCGTCTTGTGCTTACCCGGACTGTATCGAGCGCAAGGACAGCCGACAGAACAATTTTGGTTGGCCTGATTACTCGGGCACAACATACAGCACATGCGGCAACTTGTTTGTACCCTGGAGTCCTCTTTCGACTGGACTAATGATGACCCGAAGGCTAACAACTTACTACGACTCACTCAAAAGGCCAGGGCTAATAGAAATGATACCTAGCATGGCCTAAGTTATTATTCCTACCCACATCGCGACACAAACCAAACAATCTGACCGTCTATGTTGTTTCTGTACTCTTTTTAATGACCCAACGCGCATATATCATATCAAAGTCTCGTAGGACGTAAATATATACCCCGTATGCATCATTCCCTCAGCGTTATTCCATTCTTGCGGTGAATGGGGATCTCGACGGTTACCGGTTACTGCGCCTGCGGACATCTTGAGGAGCGCAATTAGGCTCACAGCGGCCATCCTAAGTGACGTCGACGCTTTCAGTGAATGTGGGCTCATACTTGCGCACGGGTATCGTACGTGTCATTGTTGTTATGGCTGCGCGGGCTGCGGTTGCCGCTACTGCTGCGGCAATTTAGCTTTAGCTTGGGGTAGATTCAGAGCGTATTGCGTGACTGGTCATGGAATGGTGACGTCTAAGAAGGGTGAGTGGTACTTGCTCATTGTTACTCACAGAACTGGCTGATCAAAATACAAGTATCGCTGGCTTGGTTTGATGCGTTGGGGTTCTTGCCGACTCATGCACGAAAGGCTTGCCTCTGTGACTCTTTCGAGCCAAACCAAACGTGATTGCTCAAGCAATTGCGTGTGCACGTTATAGGAGGCGCAAAATGCTAATGGATTGAGGGTATCCTTGGAAAGTTTAGGTAGATGTACGCCACCGCACTCGACGCTTATCAGACATACTTTGGGCATGCCATCGTTGCACAATGGTAGTGCGTTGCTTTCCTACAACATCTGTGAGATGGTGTGAGGCAGAGGTTGCGGGTTCGAGTCCCGTCGATGGTTTTTGCGAGATGTAACAATCACTGCACGACGGAATCAAAAATGTTGCTTACAATCCAGTCCAACATTCCATACCTGCTTCAAGACATGGAAACCCTTGGAAAATTGTATCACGGTTGAATAGCACTGCTTTTCCCCAAGCTTTATGGGTGTGTTGTCAGAAGTATCCAGAGCGGCGGTCCATTTTTGCTTTAACCTTTTTTGACTTTCACAAGCATCACGCACAGTGCTCGGGGATGTGTAATTGTGATGACAGAAGTTTGTGGGATTCTGTGACTAAAGTGTATGAGAGAGAGAGAGAGAGAAAATCTTCAAACAGCCTCGAGGCTAAAGGTTGATAAATCGAGATCTTGACCGCCATTTAAACATGGTTCGTAATTGTTCGCCGTGATCACAAGACTCGTGGCCTTCTAGATGGAGGTCTTATACTGTCTTATCCAACACAAACGTGCTTCGTGGTTGTTCCGTGCACGACTCAGGTGGTCAGATGCTTTGTTCCGGGATAGCTTCCATATCTTCGGTGCACTATGTTCGGCGGCGTATAGATAACGGACATGACATTCCGTTGACATGGGAGCGTCGATAGCCACGTTATGAGGCTGTGGAAAGTGGACACCTGTCTACACGCCTCGTTCCGAGGTTATCGATGATGTTAAGGATAATGTCGAATGTCATCTGTGAAACCGCATGACCGCTGTGGATCAAAATAGTTGGTTTCCTGTCCATCGGATTATGAGCTGGTGAGAGCGGGTTACGAGATAGATCGCGCAGAAATGGGGTGCGTTTGGAAACGCCGCATCAGGATGCTCCGTTGTAAGGGCCTAAATGTCCTGGGTATGTAGCTGCCATGCATTCCAAAGGTGTGTAACCCACGATTGTCGAGGAGACGTAATGTCAACATACTGGACAGGAAATGGCGTTGTGGCAAGGATGACAAAACTGCTGCTTAGGTGAACCGTCATTTTCCACCTTGGAAGGGGAGAAGAGATAAGAGTTCCGAGTAACCATCCTGACCTTCCACCTGCCGACTTGTTACTTGCTCTTGAATAAATGCAACCTCAGAAGCGAAACTTGGACAAAGATTCTACACAGACGCAATGTACCCGATGCCATAGAATTTGAATCGGATGCCGAGTAAATGTGAATGCCTTACTTAGCTAAAGCTGTTTCATCAGCGCCTGTGTACTTTACGGGAGTTTCAGAATGTCATAGAAGGCGTATGTCCTTCCTAACAACGCCGACAAATTCACTTCGAGGTCTCACTGAGGATCCCCTCGCGCTCGAAGAATCACACATACAGACTCAGTTCAAGCTCTACATTGCCGGATCTATACACATGACATCTGAGTGAGAAGCTCAGCTCCTTTAGGCTCATGCGGCTCTATCGGGAAAGCTTCCTTCAGTATTAGGCGCCCGCTTTCAAACCTTATTCTGACCTTCGAGATGATATATTAAATATGGGTACTCTGGCAGAATCACACTATCCGGGAATGTGGATGCTTATGAGATAATTACGCGTAACTGCAGGGGTTTTGTTAATGTTGTATGCTGTCCGTCGGAGAAGAGGGTGTTGTCCGATATACCTTCCTTCTATCAGCAAGTATGTGCTCCATCTTGGCTCCCAGGGCGTCGTAGTCGCTGAGCTAATATGGACGTATGCATATAACATCTCGTATGTAAGAGTAATTGGAGGGGGTTGGCTATCCTGTCACGAGTACAAGAAAACAAAAATTCGTACGCTGTCGTGAACAATGGAAATCTGACGTCGGCTTTCATGTCAAACTGGGACAACGAGAAAGCCCGACATTTGAAACATAATCTCGGCTTTTCTTCGTTTTGCGCGGAGAGAATCGCCGTTGGACATGACTCGGGACAACGTATGATTGGTGGTTGTCCCTTCGAAATACAGTCTGAGCTGTCACTAGAGCTCAGAGGGTTAGATTAATATGGACATAACGGCATTCCACCAATTTAATTGGCAGCTGATCTCATCTTGTTGGTGATCCTGCTGCAGCTCCCGTTCGATCTCACTTGACACAGCGAAAACTTCACAAACCAGTGCGTTCGATCGACTCGTTCAAACTTTCCATGTACTATCGCACTTATTCAACGAATGGTTCAATCCCTGTGCCATTTGTGGGTGGCGTTTCCCATCCATTCTCGCCAACTTGGTATTTTTTTGGATCTTCCTGATTCAATTGTTCTCTCTGATAGTACATATACCGCTTACAGCAGGTCCCTAGTAGAGGCTGGTCCGAGGCTCTGGCAGGTGAAAGGCATCGCCTTATGCAATCAGTCGCTCGCGTGGTATTATTGAGGCCGCTTCGCGGAAAGCAGTGCAAGTCTTCCATCATAGGGATGCGCCCCCAATTTGATTCGATGCCCGAGGCTTCAAGCTTCAATATAGCCAGCTGCTACACGCTTGACCACGAGGAAAGCTTCAATGCGTCTGTGTTTCATTGTCTCACATCACGGTATGCTTTCTCCCCTTCGTCATCTGCAGTAAGCAGGACAATTCGGATGTCGACCAAGCCTCCCCTGTAACGCTTCATTCCCCGAGCCACTTTGGAAAAGTTTGAGCTCGGACAAGCAAAGGCATAACATCAAACCCTAGTATCACGAGCTGAACCGAGCTGCGAACCTACGGGACCGGGGAATATTGAGTCATTCGTAACCGGACTGACGTGCTGTGACAGAGAACAACGGTTCGTACGGGTTACCTTGAAAACAATCATATCCAAGTGGAGGATCCAAATGACTCCAACTCGGAAGCGCGGTTCGTGAACCAGTTTGCTCGCTCACGAAATGACTCTGTGGGCGCTAAGATATGGACCAACGGCGCGAGCGGCAAATATTGGCCGCGACAGATATCGATTAGATTAGATGCTGATAATTTATTCCCACGGCAAGATAATCAATTGTCGCCAGCGCACCTGGATTCGAACGTTGCGCTCGACAATCACATCTTCTCCACAATATCACTCGATTTTCTTCAGAAACATGGAATTGGAACGCTAGTGCTACATTTTACATTGGTTTGGTAGATGGTGAGTTCTGCTTCACCACTATCTGACAGAAGGGTTGATCTGTAAACTTCTACGTAGTAGAGGCTGTGACTGATGCAGGGCATCATCGTCTGGGACAGGATGGAAGATCGGGGTCATCGTCTCTGGTAGTCCATTCACTATGGATGGCTACGTAGCGTGACCATTCAAGTCCGAAATAAGAATCCTGCTTCGAGCCAGGAGGGATCTATGAAGAATCCATCAAATAAATACCTGGACTCAGTGGTTCCTGCCAGCTGTCTCGAGCAAGCTCGTCTCTGCCTGGGTAGTCCGAGTGGGGTGGTTGGTCCGTGCGGCGAGTGATTTCAGAGTGGGGGTGCGGTGCCGATGTGGGTTTATCTGATGTGTAGCACCCAGACATCAGGTGCCGAGCTGCTCTCTCTCAATCCTTCCCACTGGCAGCGGTTGCACAGGAAGGAGGTGATGAGTTGCTCGGGCGTGTACGGCGAGGCCATGCCGCCGTTGTTGTAGTGGTTGGTGGAGAAGAGGTGGCTGTCTGGCCGGGTGCCATTGTATGGCTGGGTTGCCTGGCATAGAGCATTGTAGATGCTGAAAAGGACATCCTTCACCCTGATGATGTGGCCTTGGCGGAGGACAACGATGGGGGTCGTCGAGAAGGGTGTGCGGATCGTGAGAGACGTTGTTGGAGGGAACACCGCGGGTTCATCAAAGGTGCGTCCCATTGCGCTCCGTCGGCGTGGGTTCAGTGTTGCTGATGTTGGTGGGTAGGCGACGTTCAGGTCGATCATAGGATTCGGGTGGTACTCCAGCAGCGTGTTCAATTGAACTGGACCATTGGAGATCCTAGGCAGCGGCACGGTGGCGAATGGCGGACAATTCCTATCCAGTGGAGGCGGTTGCATGTTTCGGTTGTCGAAGTAGTTGGCCGGGAGGGTAGATTGTGGCGCACTGTCGAACCCGTACAGTGGGGTGCCCAGAGGGCTCAACCCTGTCGGGGACGGATTACCACCCCTCAAACGAAGAGTGTACATGGTGGTTTCAGTGGGGGTATAGGTCGCCGTTGGGGACATTGAGAAGAGCTGGTCTAAACCATGGACGCGACGGTTAGTTGCATCCATCGAGTCACAGTCAACTCGTTCTCACCGAATGCTGTTAGATGTAGTCAAGGAGGAGGAACGCTTCAACGACGATGAAGACGATGACTATGGAGTTGTAAATGGTGGAGGCCGTCGTCGAAGGTTGGGAGCAAGGAGCTGAGGGTCAGTCAAGACTCGAAGTGACTGTCGTTAAATATACCAGCAGTTCCAGTGCCACTGGTGCTTGTACTTGTTGCGAATGATGGTTCGATCTTGAATCTATCCCCGTTTTGATGCCGGGTCCGTTCACAATTAAACCGGCTCGACTCAAAAAACCCGATTCCATCTTGCTTGCAGATTGAAAAGGCGATCTCCAATTCCCCAGGGATTGAGGAAGTTTAAGTCTAGGAGGGTATCTGGGACCCCGCTGTCAGCACAGGCTTGTTCTCTCTCCTTGAAATAAAATATTTGAAATAAGATCGAAGCGATCGCGTAATAATAGCAACCATGGTCGTTGATCGCACTTCGGGTTTATCGAATCTGTGTTGGTACGACGGGGGATGGCTGCTGGCTGCGGAAGGTCAATCCATTTGTTCGCAGCAGCAACCATCTCTCTCGCAGCTGGCCTGATTTCTTTCTCAACTGGCGCTCGTCAGTATGCGAAGCAAGTCGTGTCATATCTTGCTTTCCGCAGTACCTGGGTCTTCATTATGGTGCTTTCTATACTTTTCTTTTTCTGATGCCCATTGATGGTGCAGGAACCTGCCAACAAGTTCCTGGGAAGTGGACACGCTTTCGTTTTGGAATGTATCGCCACGACTGTACACGTTTGAGGCTACGATGAAGAAGGTTCATGGAATGCGTGATTGACGCTGACACAGCTTGATTCCTGGAACTGGGT